AACAGACATATACAATATATTCCCCCCTCTCCATGCATGTGCAATGGGGTTGAATCATTGGATTAATGCAATTTATTAGCAAGCTCAAGAATAGACTCCTTAAACCACTTTATAAACTGGGTGGTTCGAGCGCTGAATGCTGATTGGCTGACAGCCGTGGTGTATCACGGGCATGACAAAACATTTATATTTTACTTCTCTAATTACGTTGGTAACCAGTTTATAATAGCAATAAGGCACCTCGGGGGTTTGTGGTATATGGCCAATATATCACACCTAAGGGCTGTGTCCAGGCACTCCGTGATGCGTCGTGCATCAGCACGGCCATGGTATATTGGCCATATACCAAAAACCCCAGAGGTGCCTTATTGCTTAAATATACTATGCATTTGACTTTGAAAATGTCCCAATGTTAGACCATTTCATGGTTGCCGTTCATAGAAAGACATGGGGACCCTCATACCCCACCCCATCCTACCCTCACACAGCTCCATAGAAAGACATGGGGACCCTCTTACCCCATCCTACCCTCACACAGCTCCATAGAAAGACATGGGGGACCCTCTTACCCCATCCTACCCTCACACAGCTCCATAGAAAGACATGAGGGACCCTCATACCCCATCCTACCCTCACACAGCTCCATAGAAAGACATGAGGGACCACCTTACCCCATCATATCATCACACAACTCCACAGAAAGACATGGGGGACCCTCTTACCCCATCCTACCCTCACACAGCTCCATAGAAAGACATGAGGGACCCTTTTACCCCATCCTAACCTCACACAGCTCCATAGAAAGACATGGGGGACCCTTTTACCCCATCCTACCATCACACAGCTCCATAGAAAGACATGGGGGACCCTCTTACACCACCCCATCCTACCCTCACATAGCTCCATAGAAAGACATGGGGGACCCTCTTACCCCATCCTACCCTCACACAGCTCCATAGAAAGACATGGGGGACCCTCTTACACCACCCCATCCTACCCTCACACAGCTCCATAGAAAGACATGGGGGACCCTCTTACACCACCCCATCCTACCCTCACACAGCTCCATAGAAAGACATGGGGACCCTCATACCCCACCCCATCCTACCCTCACACAGCTCCATAGAAAGACATGGGGGACCCTCTTACCCCATCCTACCCTCACACAGCTCCATAGAAAGACATGGGGGACCCTCTTACCCCATCCTACCCTCACACAGCTCCATAGAAAGACATGAGGGACCCTCATACCCCATCCTACCCTCACACAGCTCCATAGAAAGACATGAGGGACCACCTTACCCCATCATATCATCACACAACTCCACAGAAAGACATGGGGGACCCTCTTACCCCATCCTACCCTCACACAGCTCCATAGAAAGACATGAGGGACCCTTTTACCCCATCCTACCCTCACACAGCTCCATAGAAAGACATGGGGGACCCTTTTACCCCATCCTACCATCACACAGCTCCATAGAAAGACATGGGGGACCCTCTTACACCACCCCATCCTACCATCACACAGCTCCACAGAAAGACATGGGGGACCCTCTTACCCCATCATACCCTCACACAGCTCCATAGAAAGACATGAGGGACCCTTTTACCCCATCCTACCCTCAGTAACTAGGTCACCAATATATATGCAGATGCTCTGTTGGATGAGGAGATATGAGAAGCCTAAATTAGATACAATTAAGAATAGATACAACTTCCCTCTCTATGACTGCGTCCCAAATAGCACCTTGTTCCCTTTATAGTGCACTACTTTTGACCAGGGCCCATAGGGCTCTGCACTATGTAGGGAATAAGGTGCTATTTGGGATGCACGCCATGTTCTGCTCGAAATGTGATTAAAACCACTTGGACGCGTTTAGATTTTTCCCCGTGCTGACTCGTAGAAAACATTGGAGGTAGTAGTATAACCGGTATAATGTTTATGGCTATTTAATATTTACATTTTTAGTCATTTAGCAGACGCTCTTATCCAGAGCGACTTACAGGAGCAATTAGGGTTAAGTGCCTTGCTCAAGGGCACATCGACAGATTTTTCACCTAGTCGGCTCGGGGATTAGAACCAGCGACCTTTCGGTTATGACAGTTACAGTGCAGTAGAATGATCAGTATAATGTTTATGGCTATGACAGTTACAGTGCGTTGACTACAGCTGAGAAGGGCAAACCTTTAAAGCTTGGCTATGATGTAGTATTTATGATGTACTTATTCAAACCACAGGAAAAGAGATTGGCTAGAGGTGATTGGATGAATATATGACCTCAGAAACAGAAGAGGAAAATACAGTTTTTTTAGCTCAGTGTAAAATTAGTTTGGTTGATGTACACACTTTTCAGAGGTATTGTCTTGGAAAAACAGGGTTGGTAAGTGGCCTCCGTAACCAGGGGTCACTGGAGGGGACAAGGGCATAGAACAGCCTGGTAATAAAGTCAATGGACTTCACTACATCTTCCTCATCCTCCTCATTCTTCACTACACAGATCTGTGTTGAACATTTGATGGTGAAGAGGAAACAGAGCATATTTAGATTCCAACGCTTTCTTACATTCTTTGCTTCAGTGTCTCTCAGATATGTAAAAAAAAAAACACCTGTAGCGTTCAAAACGTTTTATTATTGTTTATCAGTATGAGGAAATCATTACTGTTGTGAGCTAGGTACTGTTTGTCCCTACAGTATTTTCCAGTTAAATTCATTAGCGTCCAATATACTCTGACGTTCATTAATTCATAACTTTACCAAACTTCTTAGGGATAAACACTTTTTGCGAACCCTCCTTCCTTTCCCCTCCATCACCTCAGGAACCCTCCTTCCTTTCTCCTCCATCACCTCAGGATCCCTCCTTCCTTTCCCCTCCATCACCTCAGGAACCCTCCTTCCTTTCCCCTCCATCACCTCAGGATCCCTCCTTCCTTTCTCCTCCATCACCTCAGGAACCCTCCTTCCTTTCTCCTCCATCACCTCAGGAACCAGCCTTCCTTTCTCCTCCATCACCTCAGGAACCAGCCTTCCTTTCTCCTCCATCACCTCAGGAACCCTCCTTCCTTTCCCCTCCATCACCTCAGGATCCCTCCTTCCTTTCCCCTCCATCACCTCAGGAACCCTCCTTCCTTTCCCCTCCATCACCTCAGGAACCAGCCTTCCTTTCCCCTCCATCACCTCAGGAACCCACCTTCCTTTCCCCTCCATCACCTCAGGAACCCTCCTTCCTTTCTCCTCCATCACCTCAGGAACCAGCCTTCCTTTCTCCTCCATCACCTCAGGAACCAGCCTTCCTTTCCCCTCCATCACCTCAGGAACCCTCCTTCCTTTCCCCTCCATCACCTCAGGAACCCACCTTCCTTTCTCCTCCATCACCTCAGGAACCAGCCTTCCTTTCTCCTCCATCACCTCAGGAACCAGCCTTCCTTTCTCCTCCATCACCTCAGAAACCAGCCTTCCTTTCCCCTCCATCACCTCAGGAACCCTCCTTCCTTTCCCCTCCATCACCTCAGGAACCAGCCTTCCTTTCCCCTCCATCACCTCAGGAACCCTCCTTCCTTTCCCCTCCATCACCTCAGGATCCCTCCTTCCTTTCCCCTCCATCACCTCAGGAACCCTCCTTCCTTTCCCCTCCATCACCTCAGGAACCAGCCTTCCTTTCCCCTCCATCACCTCAGGAACCCTCCTTCCTTTCCCCTCCATCACCTCAGGAACCCTCCTTCCTTTCCCCTCCATCACCTCAGGAACCCTCCTTCCTTTCCCCTCCATCACCTCAGGATCCCTCCTTCCTTTCCCCTCCATCACCTCAGGAACCCTCCTTCCTTTCCCCTCCATCACCTCAGGAACCAGCCTTCCTTTCCCCTCCATCACCTCAGGAACCCTCCTTCCTTTCCCCTCCATCACCTCAGGAACCCTCCTTCCTTTCCCCTCCATCACCTCAGGAACCAGCCTTCCTTTCCCCTCCATTGCCTCAGGAACCCTCCTTCCTTTCCCCTCCATCACCTCAGGAACCCTCCTTCCTTTCCCCTCCATCACCTCAGGAACCAGCCTTCCTTTCCCCTCCATACCCTCAGGAACCCTCCTTCCTTTCCCCTCCATCACCTCAGGAACCCTCCTTCCTTTCCACTCCATCACCTCAGGAACCAGCCTTCCTTTCCCCTCCATCACCTCAGGAACCCTCCTTCCTTTCCCCTCCATCACCTCAGGAACCATCCTTCCTTTCCCCTCCATCGCCTCAGGAACCCTCCTTCCTTTCCCCTCCATCACCTCAGGAACCAGCCTTCCTTTCCCCTCCATCGCCTCAGGAACCAGCCTTCCTTTCCCCTCCATCGCCTCAGGAACCCTCCTTCCTTTCCCCTCCATCACCTCAGGAACCCTCCTTCCTTTCCCCTCCATCACCTTAGGAACCCTCCTTCCTTTCCCCTCCATCACCTCAGGAACCAGCCTTCCTTTCCCCTCCATCACCTCAGGAACCAGCCTTCCTTTCCCCTCCATCACCTCAGGAACCCTCCTTCCTTTCCCCTCCATCACCTCAGGAACCCTCCTTCCTTTCCCCTCCATCACCTTAGGAACCCTCCTTCCTTTCCCCTCCATCACCTCAGGAACCCTCCTTCCTTTCCCCTCCATCGCCTCAGGAACTCTCCTTCCTTTCCCCTCCATCACCTCAGGAACCAGCCTTCCTTTCCCCTCCATCACCTCAGGAACCCTCCTTCCTTTCCCCTCCATCACCTCAGGAACCCTCCTTCCTTTCCCCTCCATCACCTCAGGAACCAGCCTTCCTTTCCCCTCCATCGCCTCAGAAACCCTCCTTCCTTTCCCCTCCATCACCTCAGGAACCAGCCTTCCTTTCCCCTCCATCACCTCAGGAACCAGCCTTCCTTTCCCCTCCATCGCCTCAGGAACCCTCCTTCCTTTCCACTCCATCACCTCAGGAATCAGCCTTCCTTTCCCCTCCATCGCCTCAGGAAATAATACAGAACAACAACAAGAGAACAGATGAACAGTGGGAACCCATTGGTTTAAGGATTCATCACGTGAGATGTTTTCAATGAATAACAAATACAACGTTGACTTGTGTCTGTGGCCTAGAAGGCAGGACATGAATAATGCATTGTTATTTCTGGCTAGGCATTGAGACAGGGAGGGTGGCACACTCACACACACACACACACACACACACACACACACACACACACACACACACACACACACACACACACAGACACACACACACACACACACACACACACACACACACACAGACAGACAGACAGACAGACAGACAGACAGACAGACAGAGAGACACACACACCACACACACACACACACACACACACACACACACACACACACACACACACACACACACACACACACACACACACACACACACACACACACACACACACACACGTCCTTTATGGAGACAGCCAGGGGAGGATGGTGTTAGTTCAGTGGTGTGTGTTTCAGTACAGTGGTGTGTTGTGCTGCTGGCAGAGGGGAGGAGGGAGAGGAGGTGCATGGCCCTTCCAGCATGATGATGTTGACAGTGTTTTTCCTGTTTGATCTCTGTTTCCCTCCACTCCCAACCTACTGTGTTGTAATCACTAACTCAACAAAACAATCCCACACCCCCCTAGGGTGGAGTCTGGAGAAAACATACACACCAGTGATCACTGCTCCTGTCACTCTGTTCCTTTCGCATTGTCTCTGTAAATCATTTATCAAGGGAGAAAGATATGGAATATGCAAATAATGTAAAGGTCCAAAAGGTGGATTAGTGTTTTCTGTTTCATCTGTCGGGAAAGCGGCAAGTTAAAATCCAATAGGTATTGTTAGGGGGAGGAAAGAATGTGTTGTTGAGGTTGTGAAATCTGCAGGCTTTCAGATTCTCCATCACCAGCTGTCATCACTAGGCCTCCCATGTCTGATAAGAGTGACAGCATCTTATCTGTTGTTAAAGCTTACATTTAGAGATATCCCAGACATGGTTTTTTAACTTGATTATAAAGTGTGTTTGCTACGCTATGGCTCTCAAGTACTAGTGCCTAGAGGTGGAGCTCCAGGCTTTTGGAGAAATTGTAAATTAGGTTTGAGATTTTCCCATTTGTTTAGCTCAATAATTTCAGTTAGCAGTATGAAAACAGTTTACTGTAGCTAATATGTTCAGATGAAGGTTGCTATGTGACCATATGGTTGCTATGCGGCCATATGGTTGCTATGTGGCAACAAGAAACATGCATGATAACCCTGTCATCAAATAATATTGTAAATTCATATTCACTGATATAAAAATACACTTGTCACACGGACAATTTGGTGTGACTGAAGGAAGGCGTGTGGCAATTTATCCAGGATTGAATTGTTCTGTGGTCGTGATATGCTAATGTAACATTCATGTATTCCTGAGGGCGGTATCCTCCCATAAACAGGGAGGAGATCTCCCTGTGTGTGTGTGTGTGTGTGTGTTGTGTGTTCTGTGTGTGTGTGTGTTGTGTGTGTGTGTGTTCTGTGTGTGTGTGTGTGTGTGTGTGTGTTGTGTGTGTGTGTGTGTGTGTTGTGTGTGTGTGTGTGTGTGTGTGTGTGTGTGTTCTGTGTGTGTGTGTGTGTTGTGTGTGTGTGTGTGTGTGTGCGTCCTCCGCTTAACTGTCTGTGTGGAAGATTTGGTCTCAGCCAGGCATCAAGTCCATCACTGGGTATGTTTTCACTTTAACCCATGCCAGATCCCTCAGAAAATGTGTTTTAAAATAGGATAGCTAAAAGTGAATAATTGATGAACAAAGTTTTTAAATATAATTAAATATTAATATATTGTTGGATGTTGGATGTTGGAGTAACATCAACAAAGAATTTGAACATTTTTTTGGGTGGGGTGGGGTAAGGGAGGGGGTAGAAGGATTACTTTATCCTATCCCAGGTATTCCTTAAAGAGGTGGGGTTTCAAGTGTCTCCGGAAGGTGGTGAGTGACTCCGCTGTCCTGGCGTCGTGAGGGAGCTTGTTCCACCATTGGGGTACCAGAGCAGCGAACAGTTTTGACTGGGCTGAGCGGGAACTGTGCTTCCGCAGAGGTAGGGGAGCCAGCAGGCCAGAGGTGGATGAACGCAATGCCCTCGTTTGGGTGTAGGGACTGATCAGAGCCTGAAGGTACGGAGGTGCAGTTCCCCTCACAGCTCCGTAGGCAAGCACCATGGTCTTGTAGCAGATGCGAGCTTCAACTGGAAGCCAGTGGAGTGTGCGGAGGAGCACACATGTCTGCCAGACATGCAGAGATGCGATTCGCCACCTGGTTATCAGAAGGGGGAAAGGAGAAGATTAGTTGTGTGTCGTCTGCGTAGCAATGATAGGAGAGGCCATGTGAGGATATGACAGAGCCAAGTGACTTGGTGTATAGCGAGAATAGGAGAGGGCCTAGAACTGAGCCCTGGGGGACACCAGTGGTGAGAGCACGTGGTGCGGAGACAGATTCTCGCCACGCCACTTGGTAGGAGCGACCGGTCAGGTAGGACGCAATCCAAGAGTGAGCCGCGCCGGAGATGCCCAACTCGGAGAGGGTGGAGAGGAGGATCTGATGGTTCACAGTATCAAAGGCAGCAGACAGGTCTAGAAGGACAAGAGCAGAGGAGAGAGAGTTAGCTTTAGCAGTGCGGAGAGCCTCCGTGACACAGTGAAGAGCAGTCTCAGTTGAATGACCAGTCTTGAAACCTGACTGGTTTGGATCAAGAAGGTCATTCTGAGAGAGATAGCAAGAGATTTGGCTAAAGACGGCACGCTCAAGAGTTTTGGAGAGAAAAAAAAGAAGGAATACTGGTCTGTAGTTGTTGACATCAGAGGGATCGAATGTTGGTTTTTTGAGAAGGGGTGCAACTCTCGCTCTCTTGAAGACGGAAGGGACATAGCCAGCGGTCAAGGATGAGTTGATGAGCGAGGTGAGGTAAGGGAGAAGGTCAACGGAGATGGTCTGGAGAAGAGAGGAGGGGATAGGGTCAAGCGGGCAGGTTGTTGGGCGGCCGGCCGTCACAAGTCGCAAGATTTCATCTGGAGAGAGAGGGGAGAAAGAAGTCAAAGCATAGGGTAGGGCAGCGTGAACAGGACCAGCAGTGTCATTTGACTTAACAAACGAGGATCGGATGTCATCAACCTTCTTTTCAAAATGGTTGATGAAGTCATCCACAGAGAGGGAGGGGGGGGGGGGGGATTCAGCAGGGAGGAGAAGGTGGCAAAGAGCTTCCTAGGGTTAGAGGCAGATGCTTGGAATTTAGGGTGGTAGAAAGTGGTTTTAGCAGCAGAAACAGATGAAGAAAATGTAGAGAGGAGGGAGTGAAAAGATGCCAGGTCCGCAGGGAGTCTAGTTTTCCTCCATTTCCGCTCGGCTGCCCGGAGCCCTGTTCTGTGAGCTCGCAATGAGTCGTCAAGCCACGGAGCAGGAGGGGAGGACCGAGCTGGCCGGGAGGATAGGGGTCATAGAGAGTCAAAGGATGCAGAAAGGCAGGAGAGGAGGGTTGAGGAGGCAGAATCATGAGATTGGAGGGAGAAGGCTTGAGCAGAGGGAAGAGATGATAGGATGGAAGAGGAGAGAGTAGCGGGAGAGAGAGAGCGAAGGTTGCGACGGCGCATTACTATCTGAGTAGGGGCAGAGTGAGTAGTGTTGGAGGAGAGCGAGAGAGAAAAGGATACAAAGTAGTGGTCGGAGACATGGAGGGGAGTTGCAGTGAGATTAGTAGAAGAACAGCATCTAGTAAAGATGAGGTCAAGCGTATTGCCTGCCTTGTGAGTAGGGGGGGACGGTGAGAGGGTGAGGTCAAAAGAGGAGAGGAGTGGAAAGAAGGAGGCAGAGAGAAATGAGTCAAAGGTAGACATAGGGAGGTTGAAGTCACCCAGAACTGTGAGGGGTGAGCCATCCTCAGGAAAGGAACTTATCAAGGCGTCAAGCTCATTGATGAACTCTCCAAGGGAACCTGGAGGGCGATAAATGACAAGGATGTTAAGCTTGAATGGGCTAGTGACTGTGACAGCATGGAATTCAAATGAGGAGATAGACAGATGGGTCAGGGGAAAAATAGAGAATGTCCACTTGGGAGAGATGAGGATTCCTGTGCCACCACCCCGCTGACCAGATGCTCTCGGGGTATGCGAGAACACATGGTCAGACGAGGAGAGAGCAGTAGGAGTAGCAGTGTTTTCAGTGGTAATCCATGTTTCTGTCAGCGCCAAGAAGTCGAGGGACTGGAGGGTAGCATAGGCTGAGATGAACTCTGCCTTGTTGGCCGCAGAACGGCAGTTCCAGAGGCTGCCGGAGACCTGGAACTCCACGTGGGTCGTGCGTGCAGGGACCACCAGGTTAGAGAGGCAGCAGCCACGTGGTGTGAGGCGTTTGTATAGCCTGTGCGGAGAGGAGAGAACAGGGATAGACAGAGGCATAGTTGACAGGCTACAGAAAATGGCTACAATAATGCAAAGGAGATCGGAATGAAATGAACTAAACATCTGGGAAAGCGAGAGAGCGGGGCCTCCCTCACTTACGTTTCACTGAAACACCCAAATATAACTCTCCCAACTTCCCCCTCAGAAACTATAATTGTTGTAAACTACAGCGGTTCAATGTTTTCTAGGAATAGACTAACTTAGTTTATTCAGCTAGTTAACTTGGTACAGTATTCTTCAGTGAAAACCGTCCAGGGCACCTAGTCATATGACGCCACAGCCAACTAGCATGCCGGACTCCAACAACACGGTTTAGCACCAATACTCAACCACAACAAACCACCAGTGTGTCAACACGCCAAGCAGATCATTTGTGTCCGTGTCTCACGTTGTGGGTTAGTCCCGACAGCTTGAGCGAGTCTGTCGTCAACTTATTCAGCCAGTTAGTTAGCTAGAATAGTTAGCATACTAGCTAGCCATTGCTTTCTGCCAACGAAGAAACCCCTCCTCCCACGGCACGAACACACAGAGAGAGCCAAGGTAACGTTAACTAGTCACCCATGTTCCGAATTCCCTTG